CCTGTCCTTTTCTCAGCCACCCTCATCTGCCTCTGCTCTTATCTCTCTTCATTCAAGTTTACTTGGGTTCTCTTCAGGTATCCGTTCTTCTATCTAGCTTTTTTGATTCTGACGCCACTCATCATATGACTCCTCATCTTTCCTTACTTCAAATCTATATTCCCCCACCCGTTCTGATTACAATTAATACTGCTAATGGGTCTAGTATGTTTGTTCTGTCTATTAGGTCTGTCTTACTCTCTGTCATGTTTGCTATTACTATTTCTTATATTCTCTATCTCCCTCAGCTATTTGTCAGTTTATTATCTATCAGTCAACTTGATGCTTCTAGTTTTGATGTTATCTTTTCCTTTTCTGTCTGCTGTGTGCAAAATCGGGTATCCAAAAATCAGATTGGGATCAACTGTAGAGTTGGAGATCTATATGTGGTAGAAAGCTTGCATCTCCCCTTATCCACCTTTCCAGTTACACTTTCCTCGTTTCAGTTAGATTCTTAGTCGAGTCAGTTTCACTTATGGCATTCTTACCTTGGTCATTTGTCTGTTGTCTGCTTACGATCTTTAGCTCAATCAGGGTTGTTGGGTAATGTTTATTTTAGTCAAATTAATGAATGTTGGAGGCGTAAACTTGCCAAAATGTCAGCTTTACCATTTAATAAAAGTACATCTATTTCTATTTCTATTTCTCCTTTTTCTCTTGTGCGTATTGATGTTTGAGGACCTTCTCCTGTTCTTACTAAAGGGGGTTCTGCATACTATGTGTCTTTTGTTGATGATTGCACCCGCCATACTTGGATTTATTTTATGACTCATAAATCTAACTTCTACCAAATATACCGTAACTTTCAGTCTATGATCACTACACAGTTTAGGTCTACCATTAAATTGTCTAACTTAGGTGGGGAGTATTTTAAAACTGAGTTCTGTGAATGTCTGGCCAATTTAAGTACCATTCACCAAACTTCCTGTACTAACATACCTGCCCAAAATGGTTATGCTGAGTGTAAACACTATCATCTCCTTACGACAGCTAGATCTCTCCTTCTTTCTACCTCTGTTCCGGCTCCCTTTTGGAGGGAAGCCATTCTTACAACTGCTTTACTTCTCAACCATATGCCTACCCCCCTACTCTTCGATCAGTCTCCTTATAAGGCTTTATTTTCCTAACTCCCCAATTACTCCCTCCTTCATATTTTTGGGTTTGCATGTTTTGTCTTTCTTCCCCGGAAAGATAGGACAAAACTTAATGCCCGGTCTATCCTGTGTGTCTTTTTGGGATGCAATCTTAGTCAGAAAGGCTATCGTTATTATGATCCTCTTTCCCGTCGCCTTTATGTCTCTCACCACATTACCTTCCTAGAGCGTCTAGCTTACTTTTAGCTTTCTCCTCTCACTACTCCGATTTCTAAAGAAGATTTGGTTCACATTGATCCATTTCCTTCTGAGGTCTCTCCTGATGAGTACATCTCTACTGTTCCCCATGAACTTGTTCCTTCTTCTCCTCCTACTACACCTTCTGCTGAGTCCCTCTCTACTGTACCCTATAAGTCTATTCCATCCTCTCCACCTCCTCCTCCGCCTACTTATTCTCCTCTTCCGTTGTTAATCTATTCTCGTCACAAGGCTTTCCCTCCACCAGTTGTCTCTGCCCCTGCTATTGATCCTCCTGCTTCTGACAACCCTAATCTGGCTAACCGTAAGTATCCCCTTCACGTCCGTAAGCAGGTAGTCAAACTTGGTTTTATTAAAACCTATTTTTCTCCTTCATATTGTACATTTTTGTCTGCTAATGGGAGATAGAGAAAGACAACTGTATATCACATTATTTGAAGCAGCTGAGAAAATTATTAGATGTCCAACAACTGAATTCATAACATCCAAAGAAAAGACAAGTTTGCCAAACCCATAAATAGTGTCCACTACAAGAAAACTGGGTATATGAGACGGAACTATTTGCGACGGCACACTTGCCGTCTCAAAAAGTCACTTTTTGTCCCCCTCTTGCCGTCGCAAAAAGTTATTTTGCCGTCGCAAAAAGTATTAGCGACGGCATTAGGAGTATTAGCGACGGTATTTTACCGTCGCTAAAAGTCAATCTTTTTGTAGTGGTCACATCTGTAACATACTAACATAACAAAGGAAAGAAGTTAATTTAAAACTATACTGTTATTATTGTTATTATATGAAGGTAAGAATAGCAAATTTTACAATGCGCTAAAACTTACTTCTGGACATACATATATATATATTTATTACATGGCTAGACAAAATAAATGACAAGGATAGCACATCGAGAAAGATTGTAGCAGAAAAAGTACAAAATGACAAAGATCAATATGAAATGAAAAATAGCAATAAAACAAATTCCCAAAGTTTAACCACAAAGTGGATTAAACTAGAGAATAAATAAATTTTGTAAAAATATTTTATCTTTCAATTTCCATTACTTATTTTGTTTCAAAATAATAATAATAATGTTAGTTGTATGTTTTATTTCTTCACCTTAAATAATAATATTATTACAATGCTAGTTGGGCATTTTATTTCTTCACCTTTTAATTACCAAGTGATTTCTAAATACAAACACATAACAAAAATAAAACAACCCGGTGAATTATATATTTAATAGTAATAAGTTTAACCATATGATATGGACTACAATTATTGTTAGGGAAAATCGATGATTCCCCACAAGTAAATCAATCAATGGGAATAAAAACTAATGCGGAAAAATTAAATCAAAAGCAACACAAGAATTTTTACGTGGCTCCCTCAATGTGAGGTACGTCCACGGGATCGAAATCCGATTCCACTATCAACCAAATAAGTTCCAAACGATTACAAACGAGACACTAATGGTCTCACAAAACCACCCTTAGGTGAATTCCAAATAATCACAAATAAACAAAGAGGAAAGACCTCACCAAATAGAAGAACCAAAATCTTCTGAACCAGAGTTGAAGAAGACCCAAAATAACGAACCAAACACCAACCGAAGATGCCCCAAAAACTGAGCTTCACAAAAACCGAAATTGAACCAAAAAATTCCAATCTTCGGCACTGTTCTCAGAAAATAATGTAAGCCGCCACTTTTTTTCTTTTTTTTCCCACCAAGCAAGAAACATAAACAATATATATTAAATATGGGGCTTTGTGGAATCAAATCCTAATTGTATCCAAATTGAATTGGGTCTCCTCAAATATAATATATAAAAATATATTATACTAAACCAAGCCAAATTAAAACTCTTTTAATAAATCAATTGGGTCCCACACTCCAATAAGGAGGTATACCCAACAATTATTTTATGTGATTGGTTTCAATCTACTTTCAAATTTTAATGCTTAAAACGAAATATCAAAATATGAGATAATATATGAAATGTTTATACTAATTTTTATTCTTTTATCATACATTCAATGCCCCCTCCTACGTAGGAATAGATATATTATTGTTTTCAATTGACAAAATAATCTCACATATGAAGGACATGAAATCTGGTTAGACTACCAATCTAACCACCAATTTTCAACCAAACAATAGACGACTCCATAGAATGGACATGGAGTTGTATCCATAGTTTAAATCCCACCACACAAATAAGGCATATGCGAGAATTACCATACATAAATCTATATATTTATGTTATTCATACTAGCCTTTCACACGCGTGATGTGTATAATTTAAGCAAATAAAAATATATATATTGTGTAATAATATTAATTTCATTATACAATCATTTTATATAACAAAACACTACCTAAAAATACAAAAATATATCAAAGATGAAATATTGAAAAATTGAAACACTTTTTGGACTTTTAAACATAAACATTAAACATTAAAAAAAAATTTAAAAAGAAAAAGAAAAAAAAAACCAAATTGGTTCAAAAGGTAAAACTATTATAAAAGCTAAAAATTAAAAAAATAGAAAAATAAATATAAGAAAAATTATTACGTGCAACGCGTGCACCTCCACTAGTATTACAAAATACGTAAACATAATCCAAATATCAATTTCAAATCCTTAAAAACTAAGTTTGGTTGTTTTAGCCAAGTAAATGGACTACTTTTCACTTGGTTAGATTTTCGGCATATTTACCAACAAAAGAACTCAAGGAGATAAGCTCCCCTTCATACCTTCATCTCTTTATTTCTCTTCATATTCCTTTTATAAGTCTTAATTTAGACTTACACCAATGATCCAAATAGTCAATCTCGTAAACTTTATTACAAAGGTCATCTATACAAAAAATCAATTTCATTGAAAAATTATAAACGAAAGAAAAAATTACATTTTATTTTATAAAATGAACATCATATGTGATTGTAAATTTAAACCATAAACTTAATAAAATAAAATATTTTTTATTCCCGTGTTTATAATTTTTCGATGAAACTTATTTTTTTTAATAGATGACCTTTATTACAAAACTTATGAGATACACGGTTCAAATTATCAATACGAGTCCAAATTGAAATATACAAAGAAAAAAAAAAAGGCATAGAGAGAAGAAAATATAAAACGGAGCCTATCCCCGGATCAAGAGCTTGCTTGGTGAGATTTCTTACCCAATCCCCAAAATGATCTGAACTATTTACATCACTATCAGGGATAGAAAAAAAAATTAAAACATATCAATGATTAATACATCATTGAAGATAGTGGAGGTCCTCCTTTGTGGGATCCCAAACATTTTCTTTTTGGGTACCCAAAAAAATGTTTTTGTTCGGTTGAGTTTGCTTGGGAGAGCAGAATAATAAACCAATCATAATTTAATATATAAAAAAAGAGAAAAGGATTACACTACACTTATCCGTTGCTGAGAAAATTTGAATAAGTTGAAGTAGGCCGACAATAATCAAATGCAATCACAACTGAGTCATGTCACATATGTAGCACTCGCAGGCCAAAGCAATTTACTAGCCGAATGGGGAAATTGCAAATCATCAGTGGTCAGATCAAAAAAAAAATGTAAAATCATGAAAAAGCAGATCATTTCAATTATTAAATAGTAAACTTTATCACTGATTTACAATTTATTTAAAAACTTACATTAAATTACAATCCTAGTCCATTACACACCAATGATGCAATCCCCAAAGACTATACATTATGACAAGGAAGTTCTGATAGGCTATGTTTGATTCGCAGATACGATAATGCGGTAGGATAAGATATTCCAGGATGAAATAGTCCTATTCTGCTCATTTATCCGCAAATCAAATGTGACCTTATTTGTTATTACAAGTCCATTTTGGTATCAAGGTACATATAACTACTCAACTTGTGCAAACCCTATTTCTGGGGGCCATGAGATTGAACTGCGAATGGGGGTACTGAAGGGCCGTAATACTGGGGAACTCCTGTTGCTTCAGTACGACCCCTGGCCCTACCAAAAAGGCAAGCCGCGATAGCTACGATCAAGAACAACACAATCACCAGCACCGCTATCATCTTAAAAAAGCCCATAATTTACTTACACTGAGGTTGCACAGCCAGTAAGTAGTCCTACATCATAATATGAAAGAGACCAGCAAACTAAAATGTAACTCAAATTCATCACTTCATCAAAATGAAAAATAAAAAATTATGGAAGAAGAATAAAGCGGTAATTGATGTCATGTTAATAGAACACAATCTTCTTTTCTTTTCTTTTCTTTTCCTATGTTGGGGTCATAATAGGTTCTAGATTCAGGGCCTAATGGACATGAATGGCTTTAAATATAGTCCTAGCCAATTTGGAGAAACTAAAGTTTGCTTTCACATTGAGATTTCTCACTATTTAAAAGACCTAAGTCAGTGTTACGATGTTACTTCTACTCCACTAAGGTTTCTCACCAAATAAAATCTATATATATTAGGCAGACACGTCACGATGATGCTTCGGAATAACTGAATAATTTTTCACTTGGCAAAACAAATAAAAAATCATTAGCCATTGATGTCAATCTCACTAATAAAATGACCTACATGACTGCCATAAGGGTATCCAACGGGAGGCCTTAGAACTTCATTCTCTTCCATTCCATTTTGGGGAAAAAGAAACCCAACCCACTTTATATTGCCTACCAATCTGTGTTTGGCTCCCAAGAAAATTCATATATAAAACCATGGTTTATGCCAAATACTGGAAAGAGGTTCAATGTAATTGAAACTTTTACTTATTTTTTTCAATCAAAGTGAATATTCAGTTATGTACAATAGTCCAATACAATACCACAAACATTCAACAAACTCAACGATTCCAAAAAAAAAAAACATGAGTATGTATCTCAATTAATTGGAATTCATATTGAACCCAAAAAAATAAAATTGAACATAATTTGAGTATGAAAATCAGATACTGCCAATATTGATCAGGAAATTGAATTGAATTGAAAACTAAAGTTAAAAAATAAAATAATAATAAAAATAAAAAATTGAAAGAATACCCTGATTACGGTTAAACAAACCCAAGTCAACGAGGAGAAGATCAAAAGAGAAAAGAAACAGAGCTCAATTAGATGATCAAAACTAAGAAAGAAACATTTACGTACCTCGTTGTTTGCCCCAACTCAATTGAAAGAGAGAGAGAGAGAGAGAGAGAGAGAGAGCCCAAAATTCAACACTAAAAATCTCGCCTCTGCTTCCACAGAATTTGTGTGCCTATCCAGTAGCTACAAGTGGTGTACAACGATATTCGAAAATTCGAAGAAATCTGAATTTATAAAGACACCGTATAAATCGATTCTGTGGACGCATAAAGTTTTCTCCAAGTTACAACATATAATTTATAAATCATAATTAAAAAATAATAATTATAATTAAAATAAAAAATAACATAATTAAAAATGCATGGTACATTCTTTTTAAAAATAAGTGTATATTAGGGGTGATTTGAGATGATCTAAATAAGTGTACTTTTTGACTTTTTACGAAAAGATGTACAGAGAAGTAGAGAGATAATGTAATGAAAAAAAGATAAAAAGTGTGTACTTATTAGTACACTCCAAACAAGGCCTAAATTTTCCATATATAAAGACAAACTCTTAATATTATTGAGGGAAATAAAATTATTTTTTTGCCTTTACATATTTATACAAAGTCGGGTGTTTTTTAGACCAAATAATTTGAAAATTACAAAAAAAAAAACACGTTCATCCATCAATTGAAGAAGGATTAATCCTTGAAAGGGATAATTATACACTAAAAATGTTTAAGAGTACTAAAATTAGAGTTCTAATAAGAGCTCTACTTATATGATAGTGGGTCCTACTCATAAATGATTTGGTGTATGTGTCTTCTTCTTTTTTTTCTTTTTTTTACTTCATGCCACATCATTAGTGTCATTGTTAGAACTCCAAGTTTAGAGTTATGAATCATTGCTCAAAAAAAAAAATTAAAAAAAAAAAACAAAGAAGACTTAAAGTTTGACCCCATGACAAATTAAGTCATGAAATTTTAATTTTATCAATTTAAACACTAATATTCTAAATTAATCACGATTTCAACCATTTGTCTCATTTCGTTTGCTTGATTAATCGAATTTTTTTATACAAACGTGTCATGTTTACATTAGGCTTCTAAACTTGATGGCAAATCTATTTGTTACCTCAACCATACCAAATCACAACCACAAATTATAAAAAAGCTTGACCAACCATTTCAATTGTAAAATGTACTCCACTATCTTGGGTCAAACACTCGTTTTCCTTTATCTTACTAGTGACTCTATCATCTCCTCTTCCCACCAACAGTACCTCACCCCTTTCCTATTTTCCTCAGTGATGCCACCACCATTTTCCCTCACCTCTCTTATCCCTCCTAACTCTCATTTCACTTTTTCCACTCATTCAATGAGCTCTGTATTCCAGAGCTTTCAAATGTGGAGCTTAATGCCCCTTCCATACACGACACAATCACAAAACAGAGACTTCTAGTGTCACAAACAAACTCCAACGAAGAACATGGACTTCACCAAAGACTCTCCTCTATCTCTATTAAAATCTAGTTGTTTCTAGTAATAAATGCTTAAAAATGTGTAATTATTCTAATATTTTTAGATGTTACTGCACTTTTATTATATTAATCCCTTTGGTTGATTGTGTGTTTAATAAAAGGAAAATGCTAGAGGTCCCAAATTTTCTACCAAATAAATGACCAAATGTCTCACATGGGTGTGGGGCCCACAAAATTGCGGACCCCACACCCATGTGAGACATTTTGTCATTTGTTTGGTAGAAAATTTGGTATCCCTAGCATTACTCTTAATAAAATAATTCTACTTTGTAGCTAGTAGGGAAAACATGACAATTGAAGTGATGATGCGCCAAAAGATGAATAAATGAAAAGGGAAGGAGCAAATTTTACTCATTATATGGGCCAACTTAGAATGTTGGAAACAACTACATAAATGAGTCGGAATTGTTAATCAATAGCCGAGTGCCTAGGCCGAACCGGATTTGGAGTAGCTACTGTGCGGGGTGCATAGCAGTCACTATTGTGCAGCCAAATGGGTTTATTTCAGGGCTCATTTTGATAATCTGAACCGTTCACATTTTAGAATACATCAAGTAGAATATACCTACAAAACATCAAGTTAATCGGATATCGTTTACCCATTCATCCACCCACATTTGTATCTACAAAAATAAATAACAATTGTGATTTAAAGTATTAAAATGAATACAAATGTGAGTGGATCAAAGGGTAAACGATATCTGATTAATTTGATCTTTTGCAGATATGTTCTACTTGATGTATTTTAAAATGTGAACGGTTTGGATTATCAAAATGGGCCCTGAAATGGGCTCAATTTGCTGCACAACAATGGCTGTTTGTCACGACCCAAACTCGCCCCTGTAAGTTTAGCGTCATAACCAGCTAATAATCTTTGAATTACCAAAGGTCTCAGAACAAATTAATACATAATCAAGGGCTGAGGAAGCAGATATATATAAAACATACATAGTCCATTGAGCTATGTAGATATACATAGGACAAGAAATTTAAACGTTTATACATAAACCCATATATAACACCGGGTATACATCCATCTTACATAGCCAATAATCATAACTGTAATGCCCCCGAAATAATCCCAACATAAATGATGCATCAACCACATACATTCATAAGTTTCAACCATTCTCCATTTGCTATTGTAACAACCCTCATACTGTTTACTGATTAATGACTGATGGACATTGTTTAATTACTGTATTGGCTTCCGCCAGGCCCTGTACTCTGTTTTACTGTATTTCTGTTAAGCAGGCCTTCGGTAATCTCGGATTACTGGCCGGTTACGGTGCTAAACCCATAGGGCCAGGTTTGGGTCGTGACAGCTATATCAAAATCTCCATAGTTTATACAAAGGTTCCACATGCAAATTATACATTCATAGGTAAGAAAACACATGAATCTATAGCATGTGAAACATAAAGTTCCAAAATAAATAGAATGCCCTTACGGGCTATAACTTCCAAGGCTTAAGCCCGGTTACACAAAAGTGGTCTCTCAGACCCATACAAAAATAGCACTTGGCTGCAATTTAATCACAACAATAAAAAGAGTATTACTCTTCACAACAATTCCACTCCTTCAATTCAGCGAGATCACCACATCTTTACCTGCACCAAAACCCATAGGGGTGAGCGTAAAGCCTGGTAGAGAAATACCAAACAAAGTATAAACATTTATGTTAGATGACCGAAATTGAATGCAAGTGCAGATGCGATGTAATACTCTTTTCAAAATATTAGTTATGTCTTTCTTGAGAAACACCATGCATTTCATTTACAATTGCAATCTCATCAATTTCCAAATTTCAACTTTTTAGTCACAAGGGGCAGTAAATACGACACTGGTAATCCCTAGGCTGGTGTCTGCAAGTAAAGTCTACGAGTACTACCAAACTGTCATTTTTACCGGTATTAATTGGAAGGCTCGACACCTATCCACGCGGTTTTCTGGTCTTTCACCATGGACTCTCAGGCCAACTTATCAAATTCATCTACACCCCCTAACCGAACTTACCACCGTATTTACTCTATACACAATTTCATAGTTCACATTATAGTATAATCCTTCTCAGAATAAACATGATGAGAATGTGCAATGATAATGATAAATCCAATGGAGACGTGATGCAATACAAAATAACCCAAAATATCCTTCCATTTCAAAACATTTCTACAACAAAAATCAATTTACTACATTATTCATTACTTCCCCTCAACACTATTTCACAATGGCCAAGCCACCAATTTATAGCAACAACAATCCCTCAACATGACCAATTCATAACAAGTTATTCCCTTCAAGGTCACAAGAGATGCTTTTCAAACATCAACCCCCATGTTTCTCGATCTTTCACAAAACCAAGATACACAACCATAATGTTAAAATCACATCTCATTTCTCGTATATCATGTAAATTGCCATTCTTGCAAACATATGATGAAAGTGTACTCTCTTAATATAGAACACCAAGATATCTCTAAGCATGTTCACATCTTTCAAAATTTTCCCAAAATTTCTAGGGTTTTTTTGTCAAAACAAAACAAACATCTCCATCCTTTTTTTTTAAAAAAAAAATTCTCTCTCATGACATTCCCTCTCTTATTATGTGAGTTATACTTCTCATGAAAATAGTTAGAAGGAAAGAGAAATCAAACCCACCATTCAAACTCTAGCATTTATGAGACAAGACCAAACCCCCAATACCATTTATGAAACCCTTAAACCAACCAAACCAAACATAAATATATATATATATATATATATATATAACTCATGGAAATTTCCCTTCCTCAAGTTTGATGGAGAAATAAAGTAGAAACCCTAAGATTCAATGAGGAGAGAGAGCTTTGATTTCCACCACCACAAGTGAAAATCTTGTTCAAGATCTTCAAGGTTATGAGAGATGATGATGATCTAACCCTATGGAGCAAGAATCAAAGGTTTTTTTGGTGCTTTGCTGAGGGTTTTTAGAGAGAAGGATGAGCGAAAATGTTTTTTAGAGAGAGAGAAGGAGAGGTATTAGAATGAGATACAAACAGCCCAAAAGTGTAAGAAAAAATAGAGTTTTTAGACTGGTCCCGCCCTGCACGTGCAGCACATTCCCCCGCATGTACGGCAGCCCTCTCTCGCACGTGCGGCACTAACCCTCGCAAGTGCGGCTGGTCTCGTACTTCCCCTCCGCACCTGCAATTTAAGCAGAATGCAACACACTCAGACTCCTCTCTTCCCCCATGTGCGGCTTGGCCTCCCACACGTGCGGCCCAACCCTGCGCGTGCGGCCCTAGCCCAGTAGCCCAGAATTTCCTGATTTGGCTCCCGGGGGCTCCGGACCCAACCGCGTATGTAACGCCCTCAAAATAGTACACAAAACCCAACACTCTAGACATGCAATGAGATAAGAGAAATCAACACATTTCCATTCATCAGAGTAATTCTTACAACAATATTACATGTTAACAACAAAAGTAAATGCCCCAAGGGCTTATAGCTTTCCAAGTCAACACTTGATTACAAAAAAAAAAATGTACTAACTCTATACAAGGAAAGCCCAAGGCTTGGTACACGTGTTTAATACAAACAAAAGAATCAAAAAGAGTCTTCAACTCTCATCTCTATCCAAGCTATGGCCTTGGAGGTGGCATGCTACCTGTACCTGAAAATGATGTCCCATATAGGGTGAGCCAACGCCCAGTAGAGATATGCTAAACACAGTATGAGCAATAACTAAG